TAATAATAATAAGGATGATGATGATGATGACGAAGCGAGACGGAAAGAGTCTCGAGTGCCCCTGACAGGCCCGCGCCGCTCGTTTCCAGCAGTAAAACCAGCAGCGATTTCACACCGAGGAGGACCGGGGAAAAAAACAGAAATACAAAATCTGCTCGTCGGATCCCCGGCTCCTTCTTCTCCTGATTATTACCATCCAGGGTAATTTTTCATCGGTGCTCGCTAATCTTTGTTCTTTGTGAAGATAATAAATAGCCTAATCGTTATCAGCGCGCTCCCGGAGGTGGCGGAGAATGGGGCTGGAAAAAGCTCCAAAGTGCCGCCGAATAAATGGCGTTCTTATCTCGCGCTCCCAGATTATCAGCGTCTTTTCAAACTCGCACAACAAATACATTCACTGCATCTAATGCATCATTTACAAAAGAAGATATCGCCGTTTGATAGACAGATAGAGAGCGAGGACGAAACATATTTACACGTTCAGCGTGCCTCAATGCGAGTGTGTTTGTGTGGTGTGTATAATTTATATATATACGTGTATATGAATTTATTCGATCGGGGGTAAAAAGTATTCGTGTAATCTGCTCTTGAAATTGCACCATAACAGTACCGCGTGTGCGAATGGGGAGAATCTGGGAAAGTCAGCAGCAGAGCACGATGATACTTGCTGTTCGACACAGGTTTACCGTTTGAAGGCAATGAATCGTTGTTTCAGAAAAACGTTTATACTTGTTTTACTTGTACAATCCCCATTCTGCTGATAGCGTGTCATTAATGTCTACAGCTCGCTTGTATTAAAATCGTTTTGTCGATCCTGTCCGCTGTCTCCTGGCGGTCTGTGCGAAGTTTGAGGAACCCCAATGTGTTGACACCCCAGTGTGTTTACACCCCAGTGTGTTGACACCCCAATGTGTTGACACCCCAGTGTGTTTACACCCCGTGTCCCTCCGGTTTTTCAGAGTTTGTGCGCGTGTTTACGAAAAGAAGGTCGACATTTTCTCTCTCGTTCCAAGAACACCTGGACTTCACCCATTTCTTGTACAGCAACTACTGATGCTGCAGTAATTGGTGTGTGTGTGTGTGACCGTGCAGGTCGGCTCTTACAAACAAAAAATCTTGACGCCTTATACCCTTTTATCCTCTGGCCAATCTTGTTATTATTAATATAATCAATACAAATCACATCACTGGTCAGGTGAGTATCTGAGCGTGGGTGAGCAGCAGATTCAGCAGGTGATAATGACACTGCCACGCGCACCAGGTGTTTATCTCAGGATAATTAACGATCTCAACTCTGGTGACGTCTCTGTATTCGATTATGACATCACCTCCAGTTGCTGCAGCGCGCACTTACCGACTACACCTGATATTCGAACGAATGAAAGTTTCTTTCAACTTGCAAAATTCAGAACCCATGAAACTGAAAAAAAAACATATCAATAAATACAAAACACGCAAGGTATAACGCTTATAAACTGCACGCCAGGAGAAATAGGTCGGTGCAGAAATTGACATCCTCGATTACAGAACATTGAGCACAAAGATTAATGCCAGTAAGAAAACCCCCAAACATTTTTGCGTTTCGATAGTTCTCGTAATCATGTATTTATATACATTCTTAAAGGTCTTCAAATGCTGTGTAAACGTTTTGTGCAGCGTGTAAACAATTTACAATTAAACTATTTTCTTTTGAATTATGTTCTCAAGAACAATGTCAGTCAACCTGGAATTATTTTCAGATGTTAGTCTAGAATTGAACGCAGAAGAAACGATTTTAAAAACTACATTTAGACGGAAGCCTTACTATTACTAACTCACACGGTGTTTTTTTATTTCAAGCGACTTGAAAAGTGTCACGAAGACAAGTCATCCCCACCTCCTGTTCTAGTTTATAAAGTGTATCTCAGCTGTTTGCCCTGTGGAATTAATGATTGTTTTACACTCACCTATCGGAAAACACTTCGTGTCAGAGCACGTGCCACTCGGCTCCCTCGCTCCCGTTCGTCAAGAGGACCCTGGCTCGTGTCCGCTCACGAGCTCGGGGGCCGGGACGGTTCGGTCTGGCGCTGGCCGGGCCCTGGACCGGTCAGCATCTGTTTCACCGCGGGGACCGTGTCAGAGTAACCCCCTACAGAAGAGGTCGGGTCCACTGCACTGTTAGGAACGGGCTGATTCTCTCGCTCGATAATTCAGTCTGACTACTCCGATGCTGAGCCCTGATTCTGAGACTCTGCACGGAGACAGAAACTTCGCCAGACGAACTAACGAACACGAAGCGAAGCCCGTGTTCAGGCGTCCGGCAGTGATGATGTTTATCTGCGACACCTGGGCTCGGAGCGTTTCTTGGCCCGGTGAGACGCCAGAGGCGCAGACACGCAGTCTTGTCGACTTTTCCAGACAGAATCCTCCTTTCTGTGAGAAAACCGCGGAATTAAGTTCATTGTCTTACCGGACCGCTCATCGCTCCTCCGCCCTGACAGGAGACGTTCAAACGCGCGGAAGTGACCGGCGCTCAGCGCGAGAGGAGCGGGACTCCAGGGCTCGGTGCCGGTGGCAGCTCGAGCTGTGTCTGTCGAGCTGTGTGCACGCGACGGCTCGAGATTCGAACCCTGATCCCTGCAGACACGTTCACTTCCATAACGCAGTTTCGCGAACTGAGAACGACAGGAAACTTCAAACATAATTCCCAGACGTGTTTATCACCTATGGAATCCGATTCTTAATTGTTATTAGATGTTTGGGATTATTACTATGATTATGATAGTGATGATGATGATGACGACGACGTTGATGATGGTGAAGAGGAGGAAGAAGACCTTTAATTTATTTTTTGCTTCTTTCCAAACTCATAGACTCTGTATATAACGTCATAAAAAAGTACAATGAAAAGTAAAAAAAAAAAAGGAAAAATGAGACAGGAACGTAGAGGACCAGGCAGGTAGAACGCAGGGCAAGCCGGCTCGCGCAGGAGGCACGAGAGCAGCACGGTCTTTCGGACCCGGGGCTTTTAACGGGGAAAGGGTGGGCTCCCGACCGAGGCGCGAGGTGCCCGGCAGAACAGGCGGGTTGCGGATGTCAGCGCCAGGAAATTATAATTATAATTATAATAATAATTATTATTATTATCTAATTTTGTTTTCACTTTATTTTCCTGCTGGGGGCTATGTTCCACAATGTTCTGAACATTCCACTGTGAGCTATAAATCAGATTCTGCTCGGGATTTCGTAAGTCTCTCCTTTAACTTTGCAGATAAAGTCTAAGCCTTTGGTTCCCATTAAACGTCTTTTCCCCGGGGACTCGTGACCGGACCGCAGGGAGACGAGGCACTGGTCGCCCAGGCCCGCGCCGCCAGCTTCGTTTTAAGCAGAAATTTGAATAACTGATTCCCGGAATTCTGAAATTATGCAAAATAGGCCGAGGAAGTTTTTCGCGTCTATTTCTGTGTGTGAAACGCCGGCGGGTGACACGAGCTGGAAGGCCTCCGTGCTGCCCCAGCCTCAGATCACACAGGTCTGCCCCTCCGTGTTATGATTCCGACTGCAGTCCTTTGCAACCGTCTTTAATACACGCAGCGCCGGGGCCCCAGACAGCCCGAGACACCGAGCGCAAGCCGTCTGTCTGCGCTCAGCTTCCTGTCTGCGAAACCACTCACTGCGGTGATCCGGTGAAATTCTGACCACTGTCCTTCACACACACGGTCAGTCCCGACAGCTCTGCACGCCAGGGTCCGAGAAGAGCAGCCTGTCAGTGTGGGGGGGTCTGGAGGAGCAAGCGGGGTCCCAGACCACGAGAACCCGCCGGTTAGTCGATCGGATCCGATCGGTGAAGCCGACAGATCGGCGGCTCGTGTGCGGGCGAGCCGGAGGAGTGAGGATCAGTGTGAACGAAAGAGGGCTTCTTTTCTTACCTGCACTGAGTTAACAAAGGTAACAAAAGTTTCAGTCACAACCGAAAACACGAGTGGAGGCTTTCAGTGACATGCTGGTGCTCGCGGTGCACTCGGACTGTACCTCCAGTGAGCTCTTGGACAACACGGTCATTTCACACAGTTAGTGAACTCGCTGAAATCGGACAAACTCTCTAGGGCTCTTGTCTGAAAGGGCCCACGTACAGACCTCATAGCTCTTAGGTGTATATATATAGTTTATTTAAGCACAGAAAAGGGGGAGGGTTTATTAAATCCCCGATTTCACTGCCTTTGCACGGCTGTTAAAAGGCTTTCCTCTTAGTAGGCCGGGATCCGGCCAGTGAGCGTGTTTCTGGTTCCTCTCGTCCGGGGTCTGGCCAGGCGCTGAGGCTCGTGCCTCGGCTGACATCCCGAGATCCGTGTACAGAAGACCCTGAATGCAAACAGGCTGGGGGATAAACCGACTGCATCTCCTTTCTGCCCGGAGGATTTGCTTTTGTACTCCGGCGGCAGTGAAGAACCGAGAGAGAAAGAGAGAGATAGGAGACAGGCTTCCGTTTATGAGCAGGACTGTGAACATTATGTATTAGAGGCTGTGAGTGACACGTTATGACAAAAAGCTGTATTTTTCCAATATATACAAACTCCGCGTTTAATAACACAGCATCTCCAGCAGCCCCGCGCTCTGATGGTCGCCCCGGCAACCGCGATAAAGAAGCAGCCATTTTCCATATCTCCGCCAAAGTCTATTATATTCCGGGATTAGTTCTTTTTCCGGAAAGGTCACACACAAAGTCACGGAACCTGGAATATTCAACAGCACCCCTGTATGGATATATGCATGTAAACCTTCTCATTTCTTTGTTAACGACCCTGCTTCCCCAGAAGAAAACATCGATATAACGAGTCTGGGTCCTTTTCCAAAGCTGTCAAACGCAATAAAGACCTTCACAAACACAAACACAGAGCCATGGAGTGTGTAATTATTTTAATGTCGGCATGGAGAAATGTATTATACCCTTTACATGATTATAGCCTATTAGGGATGAGTACCGCTCCGGCGGTTACAGCGCCAGGCGGCCGCCCGGCAGGCGCTATTCGCGGGCGGACACTGCCACCTGGCGGCCACGCTGCGCAGAGCAGGGTATAGCAGCGCTACCGCTGTGCCTGACCAGCCCCAGGGCGGCCCATCGGTACAGCGCGCGAATCTCCTCGAATTTTTTAATCTCTTTCTTGTTGATGCCATTGTTTATCCTTCCCTCTCTCTCTTGGCAGAGCTGCTGTAGAGGGGAGAGGAGACAGGAGCAGGAAGACAGGAGAGAAGCTCCCACTCTCTTCTTCTGCCCGGATCTCCGTCCCGCGGGCCTTTCGGGAGCAGCTGAGGGAAGGGATGCAGCAGGAGCACAGCTGTCCTGGTGAACACATTCAGGCACGGGCTGCGGCTGATCTTCGTCGCCGCCGGGTCACGAGGGGAGTCTGCACTCCGTCAGCTGCAGGTTTGTGTGCTGCCCTGAGGAGCGAGCTGGTGTCAACCCTCTCCTCCTTACTCCTGCAGCCTCTGATGACAGGAGAGTGACACTGTGTCTCCTGTCGGTATTGTCTGTACAGTCAGAGTCTACCTCTCCTCTCTGTACAGCTTGTATCTTCTCTTTATAGTGACACTGTATCTCCTCTCTGTACAGGCAGCCTATACATTCCCATATAAAACTGCACTAAATGCTCCACTTCCTCTGGGGTTCAGAGTACAGCTGTCACTTTTTTAAAAACTTGCTTTTTAGTGAGAACAGAGTAAGTAATAATGGCAATAACAAAATAAACAGAAAGGAAAGCTTGAGTCATAACAGGCCTGGCTGTCCAGAGAGCTGCAGGCTTTCAGCTGGGCTAATGCACCGTGTTTGTTTTTGGAGCAGGACCAGGATTAGGACAGCAGCCACTGGGGAAGATGTCTAACACACTGACGGAGCGCCCCCAACACACACTGCTCTCATTATCTCCCATCTCCCTTCCCTGCTCCCTCTCTCCAGTCTTTCTCCCTTTCTCCTCCCTCTCCTGTCTCTCTTTCCCTCTCCAGGCTCTCGCTCTCCCGTCTTTTACTCCCGCCTCTCTCCCTCTCATGCCTTTCTCTCCTGTCTCTCTCTCCTATTTCTCTCTCCTGTCTCTCTC